AACTGCTTATCTACTAGATATCAACCATTTGTGCTAGCTAACATGAGTTGGATGTGGCTCCTGAACTGAACTTATCTTAGTGGTTAAACTTGAAAACCTAAAACTGGCTTGTTTGACGACTGAAACCATAAGGTTTAGGTTAGAAACGTCCTATGTGACTACCACATTTCTGAGTATACCACATATGGGGTATAGGTGGATTGGCAGATGCATTTTGAACTAGAACTAAGAAATCTGACCACATTGCGGTAGCTTTGAGGGCGTTTGCACAGAAAACCCCAACATCACTATGAGGCACCTAATTTTCACTCCGAGTAGGTAGGGTTAAGCGATCCCCTCAACAAGTTATCAACCAACTACAAAAACTTGAACTCTGCTTTCCATGATATCCCAAAAGCCATGCCCGATAATGTTCACTTAAATATATGTGGGCGGTTTGCGTGAAACTTGGTGATGGTTTGGTTTGGTACTTCTTTTCAGTTTGAGGAACAACCGGTACCATCGACAAGCAAAGACCCGGCAATAACGACCATGCAGAGTCGGAGAACAGTTTTAACTTCATTAAAATATAACTATAAGACCCATCACGATTTCATGATAAGCTAAACGCACAAATTCTCAACTTACTTCTAAATTCAAGGCCAAAGGGCCAACCAAAATCAGGAAAGCGTAGGGGCACGAACAGTCGGGGAACAGGCCTGACCACACTGACTGGACGACTGAACTGGACTGTGGAAGAATCGGAATCGGAAATACCAAATACCTCTGACTCTTCTCTGTGACAAGATGACAACGGCGTCGAGGCGCGGCAATTCAAATGGGGAATGAGGAACGTAAAAACTAAAATGTGTTTTCACAAGCTCATTCTCGAAATACTGTCTGACAAATGAACATGATTCATTGACTATATTGCGACTGATTTAACACACTCATCCAGTGGAAAAATAAGTGCAACATTGCCCAAATAATTCCTTATTCTTTATTGGTGCACTCAAACGTCGAATCTTTTCATACTTCTGTAGCTCAATATTTCGCATATTGCACGTGCCCTGGGTTGCCATGCTTAACGGAAGTTGTGTTAGTTGGCACAAAAAGTTTTCATACACGCTTTTATCTAACTGCCAAATGCCGCAACATTCAAATTTCAAATGTGACAACTTAACTGTGGCAGGACACGGACCCATACGCACAGCTAATTTTCGAGCTCGAGCAGTTCACCGCAGCTTTGGACTTTATCGTAAGAGCTGAATTCGTAGTGACTCCCGGATCACTTATGTGTTTACATGGCGGCATTACAAATACAACATGGAATGCGTCGGGGAACTGATATTATTCACGGTCCCGATGGATACTCATACCATGCAAATAAGGTTATGAAAGGTGGAAGGGTTTACGTGCGATGCTACCGATACTGTACAATTCATTGCAATGGGGCCGCGAGCATCGACCCAGATGTCCCAGACGGCGACTTTCGTCGCTGTAAACGACACATCCACCCACCGGACCGTCTTCTATTTCATCAACGGCGTTTCAGACATGCTGTGCTGGACAGGTGTCGTGATGGAGGCGACACCTCCACCTTTATAGATATTTACCACGAGGAGAGGAGGACTTTGAGGTATCTTCAATAATAAGTTCTTTGAATTGTTCATACCCCCCCTGTGTAGTCCATGTTTAATGGCAGTTCTTTTGATCAGAATTCCAGATGAAGCAGCTGGGGAGGTGCCATTCTTTAAACTGCGCCCATCTATGCAAAGAGCTAGGGCTGAGGGCAGGCCCAACCTTCCTCACACATTGAGTGAATTGGCTGTAATCCTGCAGAATCCACAATTTGCCCACTTAACCAGTACCCTTGAGGGTGCTGACAACTTATTTGCTGCAGTAGTGGGACAAACAGCTGAGAGAACTAGAGCAGTCCTTTTCTTCTCACGCCGCAATCTTCGATATATGGAGGAAAAAGTTTTCAAAATTTTTTCAGATGGTACCTTTGTTGTACCATTAAATCTAGGCTGTGCTCAAATCTGGGTTCTGAACACTGTTCGTATGAATCATGTAAGTTTTATATTCAAGTTTTTTATTGTCAGTACTCAATTTTCTGTGCATTTTATGAATATCACTCATTTTATTTGAACTTACAGATCATAACCCTTGGCTGGGTATTAATGCAGTCTAAATTGACTGCAGCCTACATAGTGGTTCTGCAAGCCCTAAGGCGTCTAGCACCCAATTTCAGGCCGACAGAGGTATGTTGTTCTGTATTATTTCTTGCCTTCAGTTCGACTATGGAGGGCTTTTATCTTCCAACAATCATTTCTATGCACTTTACATTTCAAAGATTTCATGAGCCTCCACCCAAAGAGGGCTTACAACTGTACGGCAGGTTTTCTTTGGTACAGATGGTGTTAAATATCTGTGTGTAGCTTGTATGATTCAAGGGACCAAGGGATTTTCACTCCATTTGGGAATTAAAAAGTGGGAGCTTCATAGAGTTCGATCTGTAATTAATTATACAGCACAACTTGAAATTTGCAAAACAGTTATAGAAAACATTGTGTCTATCTACAGTTTTCTTGATACTCAAATGTACAAAAGGTGCTTATTTTCGGTATGTAAAATCCTCCTTCAAAATTTGAGTCTTATCGGAAATTTCTATTCCAGGTCATGTGTGATTTTGAGTGGGGCGAACAGACAGCATGGGCGGAGGTATATCCTAATGCCGAAGCAAGTGGATGTTATTTTCATTTTTGCAGTGTAAGACATATCTCATTTTTGTTTCCAACTTTCAACTTGACTAGCAGTTTGAGGAACATTCGAATGTACTGAAAATTTTGATTTAATTACAGAAAACATGCGAAATGGCAAAGGAGTTAGGGTATGTTGGACTCCTGCGGGAAAACTTACAGGCAGATAGTGTGGTCCGATCACTCTGTGCCATTCCCTTGCTCCACACGGACAACTTGGTTGAAGGATTTGAGAGTGTCCTAAACCGGGCCCTGGAATTGCATTTGGATGAACTTGGACCACTCTTCGACTATTTTCTGAGAACATGGCTGACCCCTGCAAGAAGAAGAATCTTGTCAGTCTATGAGTCTGAAGATAGAACCAACAACATCTCTGAGTCCCATAACAGGACTCTCAGGGCGCAGGTCAAAGTTGCCCATCCAAATGTCTTCCAGCTACTTTGTAAGTAAATGACACAAGTACTTACTATTTTATATCTTGTGGCAAAATGTGCTTTGTAACAAATGTTTGTACCCTTCACAGCTGGGTTTGTTCGTTTGGAAGACATAACAAGATTTGACTTGGAGTGCTTCGACAATGGGCAGCCCATTAACTTAAACCGTCGACTAAGTGCCATCGCCAATGACCAGCGCATCAAGCAGTTGACAAGAGATTTAAATGAGGGGAACAGGACTGTTGATGAGTTCCTGCGAGCTGCCTCAAGAAGGATCCAGGGCGTCTATGACGCCATCCTTGCCTAATAATTGGCAAG